CCCGCCAGCTCTGAGCGAGTGCAAAGAGACGCTTGCCCGCTGCCGCCAGGCCCCGCGGACAGGAGACGCCGCGGTCCGCACGCGCCGGCGCCGTCGCTCCCAGAGTCCCACGCGTCCCCAGCAAAGCCCTAACAGGTTGCCATTATCAGCCCATTCCACGGACAGAGAAACTGAGGCTCAGAGCAGCACAGAGCTGGCGAACGCTGGGGTGGGGTCGAACCCAGTCTGACGTTGCTCAGAGACTGCCTCACGGCAGAAAAGTTCTTGCTTTCATTTTTAGCGGTTTCATTTATCTTGTTGCTTTCTCTTTTTTTGTTTCTTAGCCATTTTCTGTGTCACAATTGTTCGGTGACTTGCTTTTCTCACCTGACACTCCTCCAGGGCTGGGAGGTCGTTTATCCAGGACCCTGTGGGGGGATGGCTCGTTCCCAACCCTCAGGACATCGGTAGCACGTGGGCTGCGGTTTCTGTGGGATGCCGGGACAGGGGACGCTTTGGGAAAGCCAGTCACACCCGGGCTGGTCGGGCGGGAGGAAGCTGGAGAGCCCCGCGCGAGACCCCAGACCAAGCCCGAGACGGGTTGGTGGAGGCGGTGAATACAGCCCCCAGCACAGCGGTCCGGGCTGCTCCCAGCTCCTGTGCGGCCACGAGGGCACGACATTCTTTCGTCGGTCACCCGCACACCCAAGGACTCCGGAGCACCAAACCCTCAAAGCACTGTGACTCATTCCCTGAACGATGGTGCCCGGTAATTCACAAGGCCGCCCACAGCACCCCACAGTTTGCTCGCATCTCCAAAGCAAGTTCGACGCGGTCTCCCCCGAGCACATCAAGAGAAACCAGGCCTCCCCCCGCTCCAGGCAGCAGATGCTTTTTTCGGTTTGGCGCAAAGGGGTAAGGAGGGCATGAATTGTCACAGAGTCAAAATGAAACTGCTAACAACACAGCTCCGTGTCTCCCAAGAGTGACTCACCCGGTGGAAGCCGGAATATTGTTCCGAGTGTCAGAATCCGCCCGGCAGCCTCCAGGACTTGGGTCTGATCCAGCTCACGTGAGCCGAAACGTTCCGGCGTCTCCCCGAGGCCCCTGTGAACGGCGTGTTGCAGCCCCTCGGCCAGTGCGGCTGACAGCCCGATTGCGGAGCGCAGGAGGCCGCGACAGCGCCGCCGCCCTCCCACGACAGCACTCGGACGGCTTCCCAACGCCCCCGGCGCTCGCCTCCGGCGGGGGACCAAACCTGCGACGCTGGCACCTGGCTGCCGCAGAGCGTGCAGAGACGCGGCCGCGGCGGGAGGCAGAGACACCCTCCTTTCGAGAGCCATCCGCCCACCCCACCCCGCGCGGCAGGGCCGGGCGGCGGAGTTGACCCTCATCGGGAGCAGGTCAAGCTCGGGCAGGGGAGCAGAGCTTTAGAGTGCTGTCATTAGCACTGGATTCTCGGATGCCTTTCACGTTCTTTTAGGGCAGCCTTCCGAGCAGCCCCGCGCCCTCCACAGAGGACGGGAAATTGACTGGTTTGTAGATGGGGAAACAAAAAGGTTGAGCTGCCCCCATCTCCTGGCTTTCTGTACGCAGGGGAACTTGCCAGGTAACCCCGGAACGCCACAGTTTGTCTTGCGGGGTTTGCCAGATCACCCCACCGGGACTACTGCTGGCGTGTGCGCGAACACGCAGCGAGTCACATAACCACCCGCGCAGCGTGGCCTGTGTCAGTCCCCGGCCATGAAGGACACGGGGAGGGGAGGGAGGGGGAGTCGGAGCAGCTGACACTTATCTAGAGCTTTCTGTGGGCTGAGCGAGGTCCCGCGCACTTGGCACGTATTGACATTTAACTCGGATGATGACCCAGCAAGGGAAGGTCCAAAGTGCTTGTCATTTTACACACAGGGCAACCGAGGCACAGAGTGGTTAAGTAACTGGCCCAAGGTCACACAGCTAGAAAACGGCCGAGCTGGGATTGGAACCCAGGCGACCTGGCCCTACCGCGCTGGGCTAACTGCGGTTATGACAGCGAACGGTTAGATGGCCCCCAGTCTGCTCTGCGGGATCCCGCGGGAGGTCTTGGAAGGCGCGGCGCAGGGGCGGAGACAGGCCGCGAGGTGAGGTTTCCTGGAAGGCAGCGTGCCATCGCAGCTGGCGGCCGCAGGAGAAACGGGGTTACGGCACAACCGGCGCCCCCAAAGGCTGGGAGTGGGGGGGTGAAACCCCAGGTAGACAGCACGTGCTTAATAAACAATAGCTGTGGACATTACAGAGCGCCTGTGGGGTCAAACCCTGGGGCCTTGGACGGTCAGGAGGAAGTGTCTGTGCCAACCCGTCTGTGCCAACCCGTCCTGGCCTGGGTTCAGAAGAGCCACACCCACTCTCACTCCTGATTGGTCCAAGATGACCACTCCCCTAAGCAGAGATTGGTCTGGTCACGGTCATGTGACACAATCTGGCCAACCACTGGCAAGTTTCCAGGACGGCTTTTTCTCACCCTTAAAAAGCAGCTCCCTGGCCGGGCTCGGCGGCTCACGCCTGTCATCCTAGCACTCTGGGAGGCTGAGGCGGGCGGATCGCTCGAGGTCAGGAGTTCGAAACCAGCCTGAGCAAGAGCGAGACCTCGTCTCTACTATAAATAGAAAGAAATTAATTGGCCAACTAACATATATAGAAAAAATTAGCCGGGCATGGTGGCACATGCCTGTAGTCCCAGCTACTCGGGAGGCTGAGGCAGGAGGATTGCTTGAGCCCAGGAGTTTGAGGTTGCTGTGAGCTAGGCTGACGCCACGGCACTCACTCCAGCCTGGGCAACAAAGCGAGACTCTGTCTCAAAAAAAAAAGCAGCTCCCCGTCCAAGAAAGCCTTTGTATTAGTCATTCAACACTGCGTGACAAAGTGGCCGGAAACTTAGCTGCTTTAAACAACGATGGAATTTCTCAGTTGCTGCAGCTCAGGAGTCTGGGGGCGGCTTAGCGGGTGGTTCTGGCGCAAGGTCTCTCAGGAAGTCTCCAGCGGTGGAGACGTGGCTGGAGGGGCCGTCCTGGGGGGGCTCTGTCCAGCCTGTCCCCCTCCACCTGGAGGGCTTCAGAGGTCGGCTCACCCAGCCCCAGCCTGCAGGCACCCAGCCCGTGGCTTCTTCCTGACATACACGGGTCCCAGCGCAAACATCACCTCCTCCAAGAAGCCCTCCAAGATCACCTTACATAGAGCGCCCCTTCCCCTCACAAAGTCTCACTTTCGAAGCCCCCGGCCTCAGCCTCCTGCTTTGTCCCTAAATCGGCTCTTCCACCCCTACCTACCCCACCTCCTCCACCCGGCGCCTGCCAGCTCTGCGAAGCCACCGGCGGAACAGAAGTGACGAAGGACCTGGAGTCAGGTCTGGCCCGTATTTAGGACTTCCCAGCTGTGTGACTCTGGGTGAGTCACCTCTCCGTGCTGAGCCTCAGTTTCCTCATGTGTCACACGGGGCTGAGAGAGAGAGGCGCATACCAAGCGCATGTCAGCTCTGGGGGCAGGAGCGTGGGTCACCCTGGGACGGGGTGGGGGTGCGGCTTGCCCGCGGTGACCCAGCCCGTGGGCTGCAGCACTCCAGCTCTCCCCAGCCCTGCCCGGCAGCTGCTCCGGGGAGGGGACGCGTAGGTGCCGCGCTTGCCGCCTCAGCACCCGCGGCGGCCGGGGAAGGGCTGCCAGCTGGAGTGGGCTCTTTCCACCCAGCTCCCGCGGGGACCTGCTCCTTGACTGCCGCCCCCACACAGGCACAGCGCAGCCCTTAAGTCGCAGCAAGAATGTGGCCCCACTGCATACCCCCCCAGACAGAGTCTCACTTTGTTGCCCAGGCTAGAGTGAGTGCCGTGGCGTTAGCCTAGCTCACAGCAACCTCAATCTCCTGGACTCAAGCAATCCTCCTGCCTCAGCCTCCCGAGTAGCTGGGACTACAGGCATGTGCCACCACGCCCGGCTGATTTTTTCTATATATGTTAGTTGGCCAATTAATTTCTTTCCATTTTTAGTAGAGACGGGGTCTCGCTCTTGCTCAGGCTGGTCTCGAACTCCTGACCTGGAGCAATCCACCCACCTCGGCCTCCCAGAGTGCTGGGATGACAGGCGTGAGCCACCGCACCCGGCTGACAGCAAACTCTTGAGCCACCTCCTCTTCCCGCTCAAGAGCCAGGAAATGACCCTCACTCCCCCAGCAGGAATCAAGCCCAAAGCGCCCCTCCCCCACAGGCTGCGGGTCCCCCCAGCGCTCCGCCCCCACCCCGTTTCCTCCCAGAGCTCCCCTTGCTGCTTGGCAGGAGGAATTTCCCCCAAAGTCCTCCAGATGTGCTGGAGGCAGGGGTGGCTGCTGCCAAGCACGCTGGCGCCTGCGCCCGCCTTCCAGGGGGCGTGGTGCGGCTCACTTCGGCGGGAACGTGATTGTTACGGTGTCCCCCCTCTGTTAGGCAAACAAACATAACTAGACAGCCACGGTTCCCAGTGCTTCCTGCAAATTCCCTCAGTCAATCCCCACGGCAGCCCTAAGAAAAAGGCATTATCTGCCTTCCCGTTTTACAAGACCAGGCTGCAGAGGCACAGAGAGGGTGAGCAACCTGCCCGAGGCCACACAGCTCTGGAAGAGAGGGGCCACGAAGGGCTCAGGATGGTTCGCACAGGAAAGACGCGGTGGACGTCGGAACTGCGGCTAGCCCGGCACCTGGGACCCGCCCGGTCCCTGGGCCACCTTCTCGGCCACCTCCCGTCCTCCCCTGTGACATCTTCCCAGAACTCCCAGCGTGCCGTGCGCCCCCGGAGCTCCGTGAACCTGCGTCTGAGCCCCGGCTCCGCTCTCCGCCCCGGGAAAGCGGCTCCCTCTCCGAGACAGGTTTCTCTTCGGGAAACTGTGGGCCAAGAGCAGCAGCTGGCGCGCCCTGGCGGGTTCTGAGCCGTGCTGAGCGGCTGGGCCTCCCTGGGGTGGGGGCCCCTCCCTGGGGTGGGGGTCCCTCCCTGGGGTGGGGGTCCCTCCCTGGGGTGGGGGCCCCTCCCTGGGGTGGGGGCCCCTCCCTGGTGCTGCTCAGGCTGAAAGGCTCAGATTGGAGCTCTCCAGAGTCAGGGTTGAGCCCAAGATCGGCCCCTACATCTGCGTGACATTGAGCAAGTCACTTTGTCTCTCTGAGCCTCAGTTTCCCCATAGTAATCTCTTTGTCACACAGCAGTTTTGAAGCCTGCAGGAGCCTCTGACACTGTGCCGGGACAGGCAGATATTCAGGCAGCGGGCGCTGTCTCTCCCTCCGGCTGCCAGCACAAGCACCACCTCCTCCGAGCAGCCTTCCCTGACTGCCCAGCTCCGATGACCTCTTGGTCTGTCCTCTGGGCTGCACGGTGAGCCCCTCCGAAGTTCCAGGTCAGTCCCCAGTGCCCAGCACGTGGCCCCGTAAATAGTGAGCGTTCTGGAGATTTTGAAATGGATGATGACGATGATGATGATGATTTTTTCCCCTTTCTTTCCTTTTCCCAGTACTTGCAGCGTGGGAAGATAACCACGATTTTTAAATGTCATTTGAGACCCCCTAGGTTTCCTTAATCCCTCTCCTGATCTAATTTCGGTTCAGCCTGACTCAAAGCTTTCTCCCAATCCTCTCTGGCAAGGATGCGAGTACAAACAGACACGTAAACTCCGGCCTCTGCCCCACAGCCAGCTGTCTGCCGGGCTAGCCTCCTTCCGCCGGCCTCAGGGGGCATCCTGCCTTCCACGACGAGCTTGGCTTCCAGCAGGGCTTCCTGGCCCGCAGGGCGGTCTGCGAGGGCACGCCCAGACGACCGCGTCTTGCAACAGCCCTGTGTTTACTTCGACCAGGAACTGCATTCGGCCACCTACACCGGGAAGCCCAAATAACAGCGGCGTACCCAGAGTAGTTTCTGTCTCTCTCCTAACAAGACAGCTGGGGACGGCCTGCCCAAGGCTGGGTGGCAGCGCCACCAGCCCAGGGAAACTATGGCCTCTTGAGTCATCTATGGTCACAAAGTGGCTGCCTCCCTCCAGCACCGCATCTAGGTTCCAGGCAGGAAGAGGGACCTGCACGAGCTTCCTCTGTGCCCCCCCACCCCCTTCTAAGGAGCTTTCCGAGAAGCCCAACCCCGTGACACGCACTTGTGTCCTGCAGGCCAGAGCCGCCGTGGCTGGGGCAAGCCCTGCTTGCAGAGGACGCTGGGGAAGCTGGGATTTGAACCAGGCACCTTACTGTCCTGGACGAGATTAGGGTTTAGCAGTGAGGAAGGAGGGGAGAACGGCTGTTGAAGCCAGCCAGCAGCATGGACCACCGCCCCACGTACACGGGCTTCTGAAAACACAGGTATCAGGGCCGCCCTAGGAGTGCCTCACTCAGCCGGTCCGGGGTGGGGCCCGAGACTCTGCATTTCCAACAAGCTCCCCAGGGACGCTGGGACCCCCGGCGAAGCACCGCACTGTGAGAACCGCTGGCTTCCGGTGAGGTTGAAGCTGGTAGTCGAGGAAAAATATGTGAATTGATTTTAAAAAATGAAGAAGGCGGCCAGGCAAGGTGGCTCACGCCTGTAATCCCAGCACTCTGGGAGGCCACGGTGGGAGGATCACTTGAGGCCAGGAGTTCGAGACCAGCCTGAGCAAGAGCGAGACCCCGTCTCTGCCAAAGACAGGAAAACTAGCCGGGCACGGTGGCGCACGCCTGTAGTCCCAGCTACTCGGAGGCTGAGGCGGGAGGATCGCTGGAGCCCAGGAGCTTGAGGTTGCTGTGAGCTATGACGACACCGCTGTACCCCGGCCTGGGTGACAGAGAGAGACTCTGTTTCCAAACAATAGGAAGAGGAGGAGGAGGAGGAGACGACGGTTTGCATGTGTTGTCAGTTAGGGCCCCAACAGAAGACAGACAGGACACGGAGAAGCACCGACCACTCAGCGGGCTGCACAGGTGCGGGCGGGGCAGCAACCCCCTCCCCAGGTAGCCGCGGTGGGGAGCGGTGGGGACAGCTGGGAGAAGTTACTGGGACCGGAAGAGGGCAGCTATAAGAAAGGACCCCACCCCCCAGTAGGAGCCTGGGGGACGCAGCACGGCAGGCCGTCCCGTACGGAGCGCAGAGTGGGCACGGGCCTGGGGCGGCGAGCTGAAGCTGCCCAGCGCGGACGGAGAGGACACCACGACGCCGTGATATCCGGAGCAACCGTTGGGCAGACAGCAACTTGAAGTCGGGGAACCACCCAGCCCTGGGTTCGTCCGCTCAGTTATCCGTGGGCACCTGCGTGTGCCAGGCCCTGCAGCAGCGCCGGGGTTCGGGGCTGAGTCAGCCGTGACCCTGCCCAGAGAGGCGCCACCAGCCGGGGGCCAACGCCGTGAGCGGCAGCAGGTGGGGTCGCCCCCGCCCCAGCCCAGCGGCAGCCCACCCACCAAGCCACCGCGCCCTCCCCAGCCCTCGTCTGCTTGTCGCCCGCTCGGAGAATTCCGCTGAGGCTTAAGCTTTCATTAAAGTTTAACTACGGGGGAAAGACTGCAAAAAAAAATCACCTGCTCAGCCACAAATCACAGTGTCATTAGGAGCTCAAACGGGGGCTGCGGGAACAGGCTGCGGGGATTTGGCTGGGATCAGGGACAAGATGAATCTAAACCACTGGGTGCCCGCACATCCCGGCAACACCCCATAACCCTTTACGCATATAGGTTTACTCGGGCCAACTGCTGATTGTGGTTTCCCCGGCTGCAAACAAAGCCTCGGCCCTCCCCGGGCCTCGCTGCTCGGCAGCCTTCCGCCCGGCGGCCGCCCGGCCCTGAGCCCACAGCACCCGCGACAGGGACTGTCGGCCTCCCGCCCGGCAGCCACCTGGCCCTGAGCCCACAGCACCCGCGACGGGGATTGTCAGTCTTCCGCCCGGCGGCCGCCCGGCCCTGAGCCCACGGCACCCGCGACGGGGATTGTCGGCCTCCCGCCCGGCGGCCACCCCGCCCTGAGCCCACGGCACCCGCGACGGGGACGGTCAGCCTCCCGCCCGGCAGCCACCCGGCCCTGAGCCCACGGCACCCGCGACGGGGACTGTCGGCCTTCCGCCCGGCGGCCGCCCGGCCCTGAGCCCACGGCACCCGCGACGGGGACTGTCGGCCTTCCGCCTGGCAGCCAGCCCGGCCCTGAGCCGTGACAAGATCGATAAAACCTAACCGCGGCTGTGTCAGGCCTCTGGGCAAATGTGCAGGGACCCCGGCTCCCAGCGCCGACAGCTGCCACCCCCAGAGTTAATTAAGCCAAACTTGCCTGTCCAAGGCCCCTTCCCTCTGCTTGCTTGCTTGCTTTTTTTTTTGAGACAGAGTCTCGCTCTGTCACCCTGGCTAGAGTGCCGTGGCGTCAGCCTAGCTCACAGCAACCTCCGACTCCCAGAGTGCGGGGCTTACAGGTGTGAGCCGCCGCACGCCCGTTCCTTCCACTTTCTAAAGCGACGACAGGCGAGGAGAGAGCCCAGTCCGTCCGCACTCGGCTATCAGAGGGGGACGCTCTCACCCCCCCCCCGACCCCCGGGACAACGTCTGCAGACTAACCGGGGCCTCCTGGACACGGGGCAGCGGCTCCCACCAGGGGAAGGACCCTGTGGCATGCACAACGCCTCGGCCCAGCGGCTGACGCCGGCGGCGGCGACTTTCGACAAAGCAAAGACGTCAATACGGGAAGCTGCCTTCTAGGAGAAATTCATGAGACACAGAATGAACCGCTTCAGAGCGAACAACTCGGTGACACTTAGGACACGCGTGACGCTGTGCGGCCGCCCTGGTCAGTTCTAGGCCACTGTCCGCTGCCCCCGGCTGGGTGACGCCGAGTGTTGGGCACTGACCTCGGTCTTCTCCCCTGTGCAGTGGGGACTGGCTGCACCCGCCCCCCAGGTCGCTATGGCGATGACACGGGGAAACGCGGGGGACGTGTCCGGCCCGGCGCAGGGGCATTCTCCAAATTCGTGTCCCCCGGAACGTGTGCACGGGACCTTACGTGGAAACAAGGCTTTGCAGATGGATCGAGTGAAGACGAGGTCACGCTGGGTCAGGCGACCCCTGAACCTCGACTGGTGTCATGAGAGGAGACGACACACAGAGGGAAGACAGCCAAGGGACGGCCACCGCGGCCACCACCAGAGCTGGACAAGGCATTGTGCCGAGCCCTGGGGCGCGGCTCTCCCGACTCCTGGTTTCAGGCTCCGGCCTGCAGGACAGCGGAACCCACTGCCGTTGTTTTGAGCCGCCCAGTTGTGGCTTCACTAGTTCCGCCAGCCCTGGGGCACACGCGGGGCTGGGGGAGGTGCCCTTAGGCGTCCTGGAGTCATTCGCCACCCGCCATTCATCCTAGATGGCGGGGCACCAGGGAGGCTGCGTGGGCAGGAGAGCGCCCACAGGTGGCTCCGGCTGCCCAAGCGGCAGCTCTGCAGGGTGGGGGCCGTCACCGTCCCCAGCAGTCGCCACTGTCGGGTGTACGACCCTTCCCCTTCTTTCCTCTCATCCTCAGCCCGGCCTCCCACCTCCTGGCCTTTGCCTCCTCCTGTCCTCTCCGGGCGCCATGGACGGCTGTCCCCTGCCCGGCCACCTTTCCTCCTCCTACAGTCCCCTCTAGGAAGCAGCCCCTCCCCCATCCCAAATAATGTCACCCCACCCCCTTCCTCAAGCCTGGGATGGGCACGTGACCCAGGCCAGGCCAATAGGGGCGTTTCATCACCCTGGATGCTTGTGATTGGTTCGTAGATGGACATGGGACTCAAACGGCCAATAACCATGAGGCCCAGGACTTCTGCTGGAAGGTCACATAGACAGCTGGATCGAACTGTACCTGAAGCTGGTGGTCTCTGGAATATTCAGTTCCATGAGTCAGTAAGTTCCACCCCCACCTGCCCCCTCAACAAACCGGCCTGAGTTGGACTTTTGTCTTTAGCAATGACAACAGTCCTGATTAGTAAAATATAACATAACCACTCCCTCCCCTTCCCTTTGCCCTGGTCTCAGCTTCCTTCCTTCGTTCTCTCTCTCTCTGTCTTTTTGTTAACAGCTTCACGGAGACACAACTCACGCACCGCACGATCCACTCATTTGAAATGCACGATGCGTCGGCTTCTAGCACGTTCACAGTTACGCACGTGTCGCCACCGTCCACTGCAGGACGGTCACATACCCTGAACAGAAACCCTGTACCCTTCAGCTGCTGACCCCAACCCCTCTGCGCCCGCCGCCCCACTGCCCTGCAACTAGGAATCCGCTTTCTGTCTCTACGCGCCTGCCTGTCCCGGACGCCCCCACACACACGGAATCCCACGACCTGGATCCTGTGTCCCCGGCTCCTCGCACCCGGCACCCCACTGCCATGTCCACGCGGTGGCACGTGCCAGTGCTGCGCCCCCTGCCATGGCCGGGCGACACCGCGGTGTGGACGGACCACGTCGCGTCTGTCCCGATCCACTCTGCACATCGGGCCCTTCCCGCCTTCTGGCTCTCACGAACGGCACCGCTGCGAACCGCGAGTGTAGACGCCTGCTTCCATCTCTCTCCCGTGTCTACACCCGGGAGTGGGGTGCCGCCGCGTGGTCACTCTGTGACTTCCCTTCTGAGGAGCCCCCAGCCCTTCTCCCCGCCCCAGCCGGGCGCCCTCTCCCATGGAGCGTCCTGCTCCCGGCCCCCAACGCGGCCACGGCCTGCCCTCCCCGGCCTCCCTTCGTGACTCGGTTTCCTTCCCGCCTGGGAGAGCGTAACAGTCCCCGGCCAGGTTCTCCGGGTGTTTGTGGGCGCAGCCGTCCCTGCCCGCGGCAGTGGGGACTTCGGTTGGGGACTTGCGCTCACTGGTGGCTCAGACTCGGGGCTTTAACATCCCGTAGGAATGACAAGTAGGAAGAGCAACCTTTTCTCTCTTTTTTGAATCTTGGAGGCGTGGCGGCACGACGGCCTGGCGAGGCGGACTTGGGGGAGATGCATGTGGGGGTTCAGCAGATGGGACCCCGAAGCCTGGGAGCGGACCCCTGGGAGTGGCTCCAGGCGTGAGGGTGGGTGGCAGGCGCCTGGCTGCCCAGGGGGCGCTGGGGGGGTCGCAGGTGCACCGTGGCGGCCAAACCCTGCGCCAGCTGCCCAGGCTCGCGGCTCAGCACAGTCTGGTGGGTTTGGGCCGAGTTCGAGGCGGGCACACAGCGAGGGCCAGCCCAGGCTGAGGCGGGCATGGGAACTCACGCTCAGAGAGACCCTCTGGGGGTCTTCAGACTTCCGGGCTCAACAGCAGGGGCAGAGGCCAGGGGCCGACTGAGCACAGGGGTCACCCGCCCCTCCCGGACCCCATCAGCCGCGCCCTGGGTGGAGGCTCAGGACGTTGACAAACCAAGAAGGGTGTGGGTCCGCTGGAATGGAGACTGCCCTGGGACCGATTCCTCTCCACGCCCCTCCCAGCCCCACCCCCATGAATCAGAGGTCCCCCCTAAAACCTCCCGCCTGCTCTCCGCTAGCCCTGACCGTGGGCTCTGGGGATCCCGTTTGCATCAGAAACACCCATTTCCCGAGAGCGCCCGAAGCAGGAGGAAAGTGGCAAAGCCAGGGAGGAAAGCCAGCCCCGGCCTTTGCAGTGTGCTTGGCTCCTGACCACCCAATGAAGGCCACGCGGGACACGCCCGGGGGAGCGGGTGGGGGGCTGCACTGCTGGGAGGAGCAGCTCCGGCCTCCCCTGCGGTGGCTGGCAGACGCGGCAGAGAACCACGCACCCCAACGTGTGGGGACCCGTCAGAAGATGCCGTCAGGAGGCCGGCGCGGCGGCTCACGCCTGTCATCCTAGCACTCTGGGAGGCCGAGGCGGGAAGATTGCTTGAGGTCAGGAGTTCGAAACCAGCCTGAGCAAGAGCGAGACCCCATCTCTACTAGGGGGGGGGGGGCAGCAAGCCAGCCGCGCGCCACAAGCACGGGAGTGCCGACACACGCGAGACGTCTTGGCTAACTCTGGGGTATTGGCTGGGCCGCACCAGGCGAGACCCTTGTGACAAGAACTACAAAATATCAACTGAAGCTGGCTATAGGGGGATGAATATCTCAGATATCTCAGGAAATCGACAGGCCATACCAAGCTCAGGCACTGTGGTCCAGGTGCTCAAATTAAGAGGAAACCGGGCCGTTTTCTATTTTCTTAGTTAATGTCTTCTACGAGACTTTATCTTGAGCAAGTGTTCCTCCCTGGGGGTAGCATGACCACCGCAGCCCCCAGGTCTGTTCACTCTCCACAGGCTTAAGCCCTGCGAAAGAGAAACCCTGAACACTGCCCAACCACCCTAAGTTCAGGGTACGGGCTCTCCTGCCTGGCCAAGCTCACGAACCTTCTGTTGGCCAGACACGGGCCCTGTCATCCTGGACCGCCGAGCGCGGGGAGGGGCGGTCACCAGTGAGGCAGGGGAGGCGCTGTGCACGGACGCGAGTACCCAGCGGCCAGCCGACAGCGCCCGCCTGTCCCTCCCTTCCTAACGCCGGCCAGGCCTGCTTTCCGCGGAGATGCCTGCGGAACGCGCGCGCGCCTGAACACGCACAGTCAGACGTCAGGAAGCACCACTGGCGCGGCCGGCGCGGGTCAGAGCGCTGGCACCGCGGCGGGAGCGCGGACGGAAGGGCCGCGGGCAGACGTGGTGAGCGCGTGATGTCAATCGCAAGCAAGTGGCGGGGCGCGGAGACGCCGGCCTGCGATTATGGCGCTGCGCAGGAGGCCTCCCCCAGGGTCATTCCGGGGAGGAGGACCCGCAGCGCCGGCCAGAGCAGGCCCATCGCGGCTGCTCGGGAGGCCCGCGAGGGAGCCGGCGCAGCGGACCTGGGCCAGCGAGGAGCGCAGGGCTGGGGCGAGGACGGGCAGGGGAGGCCAGAGCAGGCCGGTGCTTTGGGGCCACAGGAGACTCGCCTCCATCCCGAGAGAGGCGCGAGCACAGCGGCCTTCGGCGCGGAGCGGCCTCTGACACTGGGCTGAACGGGACCCTGTCTGCCGCAGTGGGGCAGACTTCAGTGGCACAGGGGCCAGCCGTGGCACCAGGCGATTGGACTGCCGCAAAGGCCCACGGTGCGCGCCAGAGCACGTCGCCCCCTTGTCCGGGCTGCAGGTCGGGGTTCGGGAGGAAGCCCGCCTGCGGGGCGCACACCACCGCGCGGGGAGCCGCAGGAGCAGCAGGGCGAAGCTCACGCGGGGCGCAGAGCCGACGAGGCGGGACAGCGCGTCCGCAGCGCCACACGCCGACGCCCTGCTGTGCCGTGGGGGGGGGTTTGCCACAGGTGTGTCCCGGAAACAGCACTGATGTAGACCCGAGTGCGTGCAGCAAGGCGAGGTTTCTTGAGAGCGCTGAAGGTTTCTTGCTTAGGCTCGCTGCTAAAGGGCGGTGTCCCTGAGAAGTGACGCGACCTTTCTGGGCTTGCTTTCTCATCTGGGAAAATGGGGGACACAATGCGCCTTACTCACAGCACAGCGGGTGTGGACAGCTCGGTTCGTGACCGCCCCCAAACCGTCTTGTCGCAGGCGGTTCTCGTCCCGGCACACACAAGGGCCGGTTTCCCGCCTTGGATTTTGGTACAGTCACAGTGACGGCTCTGGACCGAAGTACATGCAATTATGCAATCACCGCGTGACACACGCCTCACTCCCCCTCCGAACGGTGACAGTCCTGTTGACCGAGCGCGAGCTGTCTGCGCCACCCACAACGAAAGGAAGCACTGTCATGGGAGACCCAAGTTCTGCTCCTGGCCCCACCCCGAGTGGCCGGGCTGACGCTGGCCAGTCCCGCCACCTCTCAACGCCCCGATGCCTTATCCCGAAAGCAGGAATGGCAGTAGGGACAAGAATGGGAATAACAGGAATTCTCACTGGTGAGTTCACAGGAAGCTGCTACCGCTGTTGTCGTGCAGTCATTCAACAAACCTGCCATGTGCCGGATTCTGCTCCAGACACGTGGGAGACAGCAGGGAAGCAGACAGGCAGTGCCCCTGCCCTCATGGAGCTAGACATTCTAGAAGGTGGGAGAACTCGTCTCTTGCAGACCCTGAGAGTAATTTCTGGTTTAGTTTTGGGAGCGACACAGGGCTTTTCATGGCGCCTGGTCCACGCTACGGTGTCAATCGCTTTCTTTTTATCATGCCAGGTCAATGACCAACACCAGGAGGGAAGGGCCCAGAGTGGGGGTGTGTCGGGGGAGAGCCGGCAGGGACCCGGGTGCGGGAGGCAGGTCGCACGCACCGGAGTCTGTGGGCAAGGCTTACGGACGGGGACATCGCACACACAAACCCAGATGTCTGCCTTCTCTTGGAACATCACAAATCCCGCCACACCGGGCGGCGTTCCTGCCTGGCAGTGCAGGCACGGGGCCGGGTGGACGCGGCCCAGATCCGGGAGCCAGAGAGTCGGTGGTTCGAATCCCGGCTCTGCCACTCGCTGGCTGTGTGATCTCGGAAGCGTGCTTAAGGCTTCTCAGAACCTCAGTTTTCTCATCCTGAAAATGGGGAGATGCATCCTGCAAGGTCGTTGCAAGACTGCCCGTAAAGGGCCTACTGTGCGCCAGGCACGGTCTGGGGTGAGGGACACGGAGGAGGACTAGACGAGGGGCTGGAAGCACAAAACCTGCAGCGGTCGGACGGGCAATGAAACAAGCGGCGCCGCACAGGGGCCTGGCGACAGGGGCTGGCGGGGAGCGGGGGCCCATGAACGAGGGTGTGCCAGTCCCCGTTTAAAGGCCAGTCCCAGCCAGCTGTTGTCACTTAGGAATGTAGGTCCAAGGTCACTGGATCTTTTTGATATTTTTTTTTGACAGAGGCCACACATCCAGATTTTTAATGTGAAATCTCTTTTTGCTTTGTTTCAACAATAAAACTCTATGCAACTACACGCGTGTGCAGGCCACTAGCATGCAGCCTCTGTGTCACACCCGGGCAGTTCCTGCTGGCGGGGCGGGCAGGGGCGGGGGCTGCGGGAGTCCCTCACAGCTCCGGAGCCAGCGACTGACCGTGTGGGGGCGGGGCGGGCAGGAGGCAGAGGCCAGGGCTGGGGGGCGACTTCGCCGGGGCCATCTGCGCCGCTGACAGGCGTCCAGCACGCAAGGACACTCTGCCAGCACGAGGGACAGTTGCTCTGTCACTCACTCGAGCGGAAAATAAGCGCAGCCCCCGCTCACCACAGCTCCGCGCCAAGCGGGCGCGGGCTCACCCAGGCCGCCCGAGACCCCGGCCCGCGGAGCGGCTGGGAGCCGGGCTGGGACCCTCCTGCGCGCCCCCGTGCCTGGCGCCTCCAGCCCTGGTCTCAGCCCCCAGGCCCGGCCCGGCCCCCTGCCCTGGAGGAGGGACCTGGAAGCCACCGCAGATTCCTCTGTGGTTAAGCTGTTTGGGCGAGGCCCCGCATTCCGGAACAAATGGAATCCGCAGGCAGGGGGAGGCAGTGACCTCAGCGGGAGGAGGAAGAGGAGGGAGCAGATGGGCCCCCCACAGCCTGGGTTTCACGCCTCCCCGCTGGGTCTGCATGGGGGCCTTGGACCCTCACCCTCCCCTCCTGCCTCAACCCGTCCCAGACCCCCAGGGGTCAGCAGGGAATCCTTCAGGGTCAAGCCCAAGGTTAAGCTGACTCGCACCCGCTCCCTGCCAGGCGCTGGGCCTACCACGGCAGACGCCACCGCGGGGGAGCCTGTTTGGAGGCGGAGTTGGAGGTGACCCTCGGTGGCCTGAATGTCCCCTGAGCGTCCCCTGGCGAGGACTGCCCTGGAGGCGCCTGGAACCTCCTCTTCCTGCAGACTCTCCACGGAGAACGTCAATTAACATCCAGGGATGTGCATACAGTCGGTGCTCAATAAATGCACATCAAAGTAAAGGGTCGTCTGAAGACGAACGATGAACGGAACGAGTCTGCTTCCCGAGACGGCCCTCCCGGCCCGCGGAACCCCCACACCCTCGGCCCATCCCTCTCCAAAGACGAGCAGGGAGGAGAAATATTAACATGCTCAACCCTAATCAAATCTGGGTGATTCCGCTAAAAACCTTTCCATAATTTCATCAGCGCTAAAGGACTACAACAGCAACAGATTGAGCCGACAGGCACGAACCTAGTTGCTCAAGAGGAAAACGCAGCTTGATGTAGAAACGGATGTTACAGTTTATTAACCAATCTGAGCTAATTCGATTGCGAGCCACCGCTGCACATGCATCAGCATGCAGGGCCGACAGCACGCACGGCAGGGGGGGGGCAGCAAGGCCAGCGCGCTGCCACAAGCACGGTGCCGACACACGCGAGACGGCTTGGTAACTCTGGGGTATTGGGCTGGGCGCACCAGGCGAGACTCCTGGTGACAAGAACTACAAATTCAACTGAAGCTGGCTTAGGGGATTGAATATCTCAGTATCTCAGGAAATCTCAGGGCATACCAGCTTCAGGCATGGCTGGATCCAGGTGCTCAAGATTAAGAGGAACGGGCCGTTTTCTATTTCTTAGTCTATTGTCTTCTACGTAGACTTTATTCTTGAGCAGTGTCTTCCTCCCTGGGGGTAGGATGACCACCCGCAGCCCCAGGTCTTCACTCTCCACCAGGCTTAAGCCACCTGGCAGAAAGAGAAACCCCCTGAAACCACTGCCCACACCCTAAGTTCCAGGTACGGCTCTCCTTGGCCTGGCCAAGCTCACGAACCTTCTGTTGGGCCAGACGGGCCCCTGGCTCATCCTGGAGCCGCCGAGGCGGGGAGGGGGCGGTCACCAGTGAGAGGGGACGGCGCTGTGCACAGGG